GAATTAACTACGTTACCATCAAGTTATTGCGCACACTTGTCATCTTGTGAAATAAACAAAGCAAGATATTTTATTTTCTATACTTTTGTGACTGTATTTTTGTCCAGTTATGCCGGATCATTTGTACTTGCAAAAAAATTCCACGTTTGATTCTTCTCGATCGGAATTGTGTACATAATTTGCATCCTACATGATTTTTCGGTGTATTTTTATCGCCCTGTACAACAGACTTAAGTGGCCGGGCACAACTACAAGTGACACCTCTATCGTTTTATTTGGCACTGCTGAGGAACACAGCAATTCCTCGAATACCGTGAAGTTCAGAGCTACTTCTATGTATATGGGGTGGGGTGGGGTGGGGGGGTTCTTAGTAGCTGAGTACGTTATTTAGCCAAGTTTTAGTGTGCCCTGGTATCTCTTCACATGAAAATAAATTTCTGGCCAGTTTTGTCCATGCTCTTCTCTAACACTTAAGACTCAAACTTGGTTTCCGTGATCATCAATCTGTCAAGAATCGGGGATGAATAGAGGGCAATTTTGATAAGTAATGGGCCATTATTGCGAATATACTCCACCAATTCATTGGAAAAGCTTAAAAGGATATTACTGTTCGTTTTGGCCAAAAATCCGATTTTCCTCGGGTAAACGACGATTCCCCCATACTTCGCGATAGTGAATGAATCCATTCCGACATTCACAGTTAGTCCATTTTTTTCTAAAAAGTTTGGATTTTTGTTGGATTTTTGATAGTCCCTCTCAAACTTAAAGATTAAATAAATAAGTTAAATTTAACGTCTCCTTAGAACAGTTTAAACTGATAACAGTACAAGCGATTCAATTTCTAGGCAGGTACACGTCTCTTCAAGTTTGTAAATTAACAACGCAACGCTTTCTTCAGTGGATGGACTATAGACTATTTTTCAGTCAAACAATTTGTAATTCAGAACAGTAACTAACTTAGATCTTGTCACTAGAGTTATGCTGTTCAGCACTAAGCAAATATATTACATACATATAAATAATACGTAAGCACATCAGTAAGCCAATAATACTAAAAAAAAAGAAAGAAAAACAACTAATCATTAAATACGCGACCGTAGTACGTCATAAGTATGGTCGCGCAGACAGCGCTAACCAAATATGCACCATTTTCACGCGAAGTCAATTAAATCAAAATCTCGAGAAGCAAATTGCGCAAGCATACACACGTATCACTATTTAGTCAAGGCAGATGATTAACTGCTGCGCTGGCGACAATTGGCAATTTATTAAAGCAGACTGACAGTGCTTTGGGCTCAGTTTGACATTTTGTGCCAATTTTTACTTTTCTCGCGCATTCTAGCGATTTTTTTCGCAATCTCTGTCGGATTATTAATATTACTGTTTATATATAGTGCAGTAGGCATCATCAAGACATACAATACAACTTAAGACATCGGCAGTCATCTCGGCACTGATATGGTTCAGCATTTCACGTGCGTTGTTCACCTTCCTCCGGGGAACATAAACCCCTGAAGTGATACATGTACACACTGAAACGGAATGCGATATTTGATCATGAAATGAGTTTATTAAAACCATAGCATCCAAAAGGTTGAAGTTATAGCAATATATTAGTGCGAATAAAAAATTAAAAAACCTCTCATCACATAACTCAAGCAGCTGAGTGGCAAACTGACAGCGAATGAAAATGTTTGAATTTTTTAAAAAGTAAAACGATATTCCTTCTCCCAATCATATTTATTAATCTGGGGATATTGCGCTTTCTCTCGACGTTTTCACTATTCTACTGCTATACTTGTTCATCAGTGTGATGATTGACGTTTGTTTATATAACTGCCAATCAAGCCATCCACCTTCAATAGCTTTGATTGGCACCTCTCAATCATAGGAGGTAAAATCTCCTTCGCAGGATGATCGTGATTGACGTTTGTTTAACTAACCGTCAATCAAGCTGTCAAAATTGACGACTTTGATTGACACATATCAATCACGGGAGGTAAAAGTTCCATTGCGGGACGGCTGTGATTGACGTCTGATTATACAGCCGTCAATCAACTGAATTTGATTGACGGAATATAAAATTTCAAATTTTTCATGTATATTCTTCTCGCAATTCTAATTTGGCTTGGTTGTTCAACTTCATTCGGGTGACGCTAAGGTGAGCTGAAAACTTGATTTTAATATGCTTTTAGTTCTTAACAGCTGGCGGCAGTTTTTCATACTAGTCATTCTTCCTCGTTAAAAAAAAAATTAAAAGTGAAATTCTTTTCAACCACAACAGGTTCTTCTACCTGTGATAGAAATAAACGGGCAGATTTTAATCACTGAGGTAAAATAGCATATTTCCCCAATCAATGATAATGTGCGTATTTAGAACTATGAAAGTGAAAAAAGTTGTCCATCTCGCTCTCAATATTACATGTTGCAACAGTGATATGGATAGGGTGAACGGAGTTGGTCATATATGGTTATGTCTGCAACACATTTTTTTGAACAACATACAAAACATTTTATTCTGGGAATTACACAAATGGACTGCAGCAAGGTTGAAGCAATGTATAAGTCAAGTTTAGATTAAGAGAGACAAACTATTCTACAAAATTCAAACTTGTGTTAGTTTTTTTTTTTTTAGAAAATTTCCATTCCTTTCCATTATGCAGCATCAGGCCTGCAGAATTATTCCCCACTTTTCTGTCTTGGGCTAAGAGAAATCGAAAAATAAATAAATGAATAAATAAATAAATAAAATACACAAGAAGAAAAGATAACTTCATAATGCATGAAATAGAAAAAAAAAATAACCAAAAAAGTTTGATTTTATTTCATGTACTGTAGATGTATATACATACTGAGCATAATTTGTGACATCAAGAACGTAATGTTTCTTAATTCATCATCATCATCATCCTTCCCCTTTGGGTGAAATGGCAGCAGCATCAGCAACATGATAAGACCAAAGTTTTTTTCTGTCTCATTATTGCAGGGATTAATCTCACCTGTGTGCAGACCAGTGTCATTCATGTTAGTGCCACACAGAAAAGAAAGGAAGTGGGAAAAGTGAGGGAGAATACCTACATGTACATGTTGTATTCAATGAATGTGGTAAAAATAGATAAACGCAAAGAAGGAGACCAACAGGACCATATCTTTTTTTAATAAACTAAAATTTATCCAAGTTCTTAAAATTAAATGTATTCTAATATCTTTTACTTTTTTGGAATCAAACCAATTTAAATATTATCATCATACTATCCAACTTTTAAGTTGGAACTAAATGATAATTGGTTTCATTATTACTACACAGTCATGTCCCCCTCCCTGCCACTGGATGATCAATGAAACCCTGTAGATTGTGTAGGAAAAGACACCTGCAAGTTTAAAACAAAAGAGAGATTTTACTTTCCAGATATTGCTGCAGTATATTTCAATACAGCAAAATACAATGATGATGAAAAATAATAAAGTATGAACTGCATTCTACATCTTGGACATATTATGTCCAAGTCTACATATTTCTATGCAAGTTATTGGAGAACTTGTGTTTAAAGCACAGCACAGGCATTGATTTCAAGTAACTGCTATTTATTTTGTAAGGATTATGAGCACTATAATGCTCTAGTTATCATCACAAATACAACTTAAAATGTTGTATGCTTGAGTCTGCTCACATCTTTATTATTTCTTCAGCATTTACATTAAAATCTGTTACATTCACAAGGACTATTGTAAAAAAAAAACATGTTATTCCATTGAACAATTTCCACGCACAACTAAAATCTTCACACTTATTTTCATATCTAAAACACTTTCTTATAAATGACTAAAATCAAATTATCAAATGATGGTAGTGGATTTTAAGAGAAAAAAACCTTTGCTTTCAGTTTATCAACAGGGTAGTAAGATGCACAATTAACTGTATGTACATAATTGGAAGCTAAATATCATGTTACCTATTTTACAAAACACCTGGTTTTCACAATGGAGTTTATATCTGTTTTACATATAACAAAGCACAACATTAAATTCATTTTCTCACACACTATGTAATCCATAATAATACCTGAAAGAATGAGGCAATAAATACTACATTTTGAATGTCTTGTTTCCTTTAAACATCAGTTCCAGTTATAATATTGATGTATTAGATAATGTTCAGTGTGTGTGTGTGTGTGTGTGTGAGAGAGAGAGAGAGAGAGAGAAGGGTTTTGAGTTATTTTTATTGAAATGAACTATTTTTCATTGTGTCATGATAACTTTTTGTCTGAAAAAATTATAGGTCTATCAAAGTACTGAAATGAAATTCAAATGTAGGGATTGTATGATAGATATCAATGATACTGTCAGTTTTTGTACTCATATTTTGTGTAACCTTAAATTACAAATCTCATATCAAGTCTTAGCATTTAAAAGATATCAATAAAAAGTAAGGCCAATATAGAAAGGGGACCAAATTTAGTCCATTTACTTTTAAACTGAACTCAAGACATACCTTCAGAAAAATTATAAATAGATTTTTATAAATGACTTTTCAATGTGAGTGATGAAGTAACATTTTGAATTTCTACATTATGTTTATTTTTCCAGTTTTATTCAATATTTCTTTTCTTTTACTTTTCTTACCCTTTTTGTTATTTATTCATTGCATTGTAAAGTCTACTGAACAAATTTGGACTTAAGCCTAGAGATAAATTGTATTATAATTATCAATATTATTATTATACATGAAGAGTACTCACTACTGTACATGTAAGTTGCTGGATTTAAAATATTTTATTTTAATATCTGACATATTATTGTATCACAAACTGTGAATGAGGACACATAATAGCACCTGAAACAAGTATACTTGGCAACAGCAAACAACCTATCTATTGTCTAAAACAACATATTTATAAACAATTTAAATTTCTGACATAAAATAAGTTGTGATTAGTATTTCTGTTCACCAGACATTAATGGTTCAACCTGTATGTACTATCTGAAGGTAGTACTTCTGCCATATCACCAGTTTATGTGGAAGTTGCTGCCATCTAGTGACAGTTTTGACAGTTGTCATGACACCTCTGTGCATTCACACGACACATGCAACCTCCACTGATGTCACCCGGGCCCTGAAATAATCATAATTTGGAAAATTTCTGAAAATTGCTGACATAATTTTTAATCATGCATACAGGTACCTCCACTTACATATAGATATTTATCTTATCTCAAATATTCTCTTCATCACTTAACTACATCTAAGATGACACAAATATATTCCTAAAAGGAAGAAATTCAAAGAAACAGAATAAATGATAGCTGAAAGCTTTAAGATATTTAGAAATCTTGTGCCATTAATGCTATGTGCTTGGATGAAAATGAACTCTGCAAACATTTACTGTATTAATTCATAATTTAAGCTAAAATACTGAATGATAACAATAAATTAATAAAATAAAAACCTACTGCAGGTCCCCATCTGGGTCCTCTTGTGACCCAGCAAATTTCTGTTTTACAAAAACTGCATTTTATCCAATCACATCCATCCTTTTTCTGCACTATGACCCTACAATGTGGACATCGCATGGCATCTCCATCTCTGATCAGTTTCTAGAAAAGCAGAACAGACTAATACTACAGCAAATCCAGGAACAGTGCATATTTTGGTTGTTACAAACAAAAACACTTTATAAGATTCGGTGTAACCTNCCCCCCCCACCTTGTTAAAGTCTACCTATGATGATTCCTACTACAGGGTAGCAAGAAACAACATATTACAGAGGATAAGGCAAACTACTGTAAGTGGAATTCTCACGTTCTATATTTTGTAGGAAAAACATGCATGTGGATGTAAGAAAAATTTACTTCATTAGGAAAGGACATGGTCTGGCCTCAAGTGCTTCAGTTTTACGGTATATTTGGTATATGTTGAAATGTGAACGGCCCTTACTTTCAATTTGTATTAAAACAGGGCACCCCCACCCCCCTCCAACCAGCTGTTCCCTTGCCAGTGTTACCTCTAACATGTCATTGGTCTGCTTGGCAGCCTTGTCATTTCCTGCTCTGATCTGCAGGTCTTCCTGGTACTGCTTACAGTTGATGCCTTCATGGATTGCCTTACATGTCAGGCAGTTCTTCTTGCCACAAACTGGACAGTCAAAGAAATTTACCTAGTTTGTTAGAGAAGAGAAAACAATTAAGAGTGAACTGAATCACAAAACCTGAAAACTGAAAACATGACTGTGTATTTGCATGATGAAACAACATATGACTTAGTCTAGTAGCAATTTATTTCAAATACAACAATAACACTGTAAAAGTTAGTGGTCAAAATCTGAACAACAGAATAAATTAATAAATTGGATGTGTCCGACCTACCTCATCCTCATATATACACCAGCCCCTGCAGTCTGCTGTCTTACAGTGGTAACTATTGGCAGCCTGGGACTCAGCCTGGGACAGACTCAGCTGCAGGTATTTCTGGAAGACCTCATTGGAAACAAGCTGAAAAACAAACATGCATCAAGCCAATATGGTTCATCTCAGCCAGATGTCAATATCACCAAAAGTAGATGTGTAATGTTGGGGATGACATGGAATAATTGACTGAAATATAACTGAATCAGAATCACTAATAACAAGACATAGCAATATTGTGGGGGTTATTTTTGGTAACATTAATCCATGGCATTTATCTGCTAAAAATGGCCAATAAACATTACTTGTCCGCAGATAAGTTCAACAAGAAATGGTTTTATGTAGCGGTGCTTGAGTAAAAAAATTTGTTTAAAAATTTTAACTTTATCCCTTTAAAGTCATAATAACTCTTCGTTTTGGCCAAAAATTGGATTTTCCTGGAGTAAACGGCAATTTTCCCATACTCACCAATGGTCAGCGACCCCATTCCTGCATTCAAAGTTAATCCAGGGTTTTTTTCCTAAACGTACGGTTTTTTGTTAAAATCTCTTAAGTGATTTTAACCGGCGGAGCCCTCTCTAACATAGCATATCGAGCGGGGTTTTCTGATGACCTACTTAAAACCGCGGGAAAAGCAGACAACAACAACACTTTATAGCAATAAAATAGGCTCCATACGATATAATCGTCTTAATTGCTCATATTCACAACTTGTGCAGTTCTGGGCTTTTCGTTATCCGACACACTGTACAAAAACTCGCAACTTACGTCTGAGGATTGTGTCATGCGCCTGTGTTATTTTGGTCTCAACTGCACGCGAGAATCCGCGTGATGCGCCAAAATCCTTGGCAACGAATGCCTTGATGACCGGGAAAAAAGGCACCGAAAGCCCTATTGACAAGCACAG